CTCCGCGGACAGGGCGGGGAGGATCGGGCCATAGGTGGCCACAGGAAGCCACGTCGGAGGCCAAACCCCCCACTGGGCGGCCACGGAAGACTGACAGCACGAGGAGGCTATGTCCAAATCCCGCTGGCCCCCTGGACGCGAGCGGTTCACAGTCGAAACGCCGTCGTAAGGAACCCGACCCAAACCTAAAGAAGAAACGAGACCCTTTTTTGTCTCCGTAAGTTACGCTTTGATTCCCGATAGAAGCCGATGGAAAATCAAAGAAGCACTGCAAAAAAGAAGCCACTCAGGAACACTGAGCCCCCCCAACGACAACGGTTCCTTCTTCAGCGGCCCGACGGTAGTCGGTTTCCTCTTCCAAGCTTGTCTCTCCCCATTCAGGAATCTTGAAATATGTTCCCTGTTGAAACAACACACCCCCTCCCCAAGGCGGCCAGCCGCCAACCAGGAACAATGACAACCCCCCCACCACCATCCGTGTCAGAAACAAATACAACATACAATGTGGGGCAAGTTCTTGGGTCATGATCGTGGGTTCCGACAACAGTTTGCAATGTTTTCTGCCAGGGGCGCCGGGGGGTGGTATCATGTCGCCTGCTGTGCAAAAGGGCCACCACCCCTGCCAAACAGCGATGAACAATTACACTTCACGGCTAAATCTGGATCGTGCGCGGCCACCCAACGATCACTGCCCATGGGTTTTGATGAGGGCGGCAGGGGTGCTGGCATATTGCCTGGTGTACAGGCCCACCAAGACACCATGATGGCTGCCCCGCCGCGGTTGTGCATTGGTTTTCGACAAATATGGTGGGGGCCGACATGTGTTTGGATGCGTGCTGTCACGTGCGCGGGCGCACATGGCACGCTCTGCGCGTGCCCCGGGCGTGGCGCACCTGACACGGCTGGACAATGCGGCGCGCATGGCGCGCGTGGATCATGTGGCGCATCTGGCGCGCGAGGGTACCTGGCACGGTTGGGCTCCAGGGGTGCCTGGCGCGCGTGGCGCATCTCGCCCCAGCGCTGCGAACATGGAGTCCGTTTTGATTTCCAATAGCTGCCCATCCATAGACGACCGCTGAACATGCTGAGGCTCGGCGCCACGCATGTGTTGGGAGGGCAGGTGGGACTGAGCGAAGCAGCTTGCAGCCGGGGAGGGTGTCTGGACTTGAACAGGGCGCCCCGTGACCGATTGGAACGTCCACGAGGCATTCGGCGACGAATCAACTATTATTGGTTTTGCTATAACGTTCGGTCCATTATGGCCCCTGGGGCAAGCCTACTTTACCCCCCCTATTGATCGAAATGCCAAGACAACGCTTAGAAGCGGCCGTGCACCGCCTGCCCAACCCCGCCGCCCCGGCCAAATGCCGGGGGAAGGGGGGGGGTGAAACGCTGTGCGCGGGCAAGGGCGCCCGACGATTAGGGGGGGCACCCCGGAGGGGGGAATAGGAGAGGAGGAGGGGGGACGAACCAAAGGTGGAGGAAACGGGCGCGCGGCCGTGGGACCTGAGCCTCCGGCCTCCACCGTTAGGCGCGCACGCGCCCAACCAGGGAGGCAAGGAGCGGGAGAAACGAAGGGAGGGGAGGGAGGAAACACACCGAACAAAAACATTATGGCCGGGCAGGAGGGGCAGCCGACAACAACTGCGGCGCGGGCGCGGCGCCCATCGGGGGGGACTTTTTGCAGGCCCTTGGCGGGAGGCGCTATCCCGCCAGGGCGCCTCGGACAGGGCGCCGCGCCGCAAAGCATCACGACCCCGAGCGTTTGGGAAGACGAGGGAGGGAGAGGACAGAAAAGGAGGCGGAAAAACGGAAGAGGGGACGAGGAAGGCCAGGCGTCGTCGTCGCCCGGAGCCTCCAGCAGGCTGAGAGCAGCGGACAGCGCGCCCCCGTAGTCGGGGGGCTTTGTACGCCTACGCAGCGCAGCCCTCGCCGTCGCCCTCCGAATGGCCACAGAGAGCTGCTGGAAGAAGCGAGCCGCCCCGGCGCCCGCCTCTTCTCCGAGGCGTCTGTCGCTGGGCCGAGCCAGGCGGCGGAGGGCGTCCGCGCCCGTGGGGCCCCATCCGCCCGACGGTTCCGCCTCCAGGGGGGCGAACGTCATCCCCTGCCGCCTGCACTGGGCCCCGGTGTCAAAGTGCTCTCGCTCGGTCGCCTCGCACGCTTGGGCCGCGCGCCCTAAGCCGAGCCAAGCCATGCCGAGAGAGCTGCCGACGCGGCGAAGATACCGCAAAGTCGAAGGCAGCAGGTGCCCCACCAAACCAAGATGGCACGCGCACGTCCGCAGGTCGACGCCCGTTGACCAGAGCGTCGTCAGGCCGGGGCGGCAAGAACCCTGGGCGCGCCAGCTCTGGGTTGAATCCGGCCGACGAAACGAACCGACCGACCAAGTTGCGGGTCGACCTGGGTCGCAGCACCCGGTCCCCAGCGCCTGCGCAAAGACCCGAATGGCGGCCGCGCCTGCCGCGCGCGCCGTCGCAGCACGGGCAGTAGTGCTCGGACTCGTAGACGGGCACTAGACCTCAGTCACGAAATCCTCTGGTTCGCAGAGCAGCCCGAGATTCTCGTTCGGCGGCGCCTCCAGGAAGCCGCTTGCGCCGGGGAGCGGTTCGGATTGGATTTCCGCTAGGTCTGACTCGCTCATGCCAGCGCTGAAGGCCTTGTGGTCGTGGTCGTCCAAAGCAGCAGAAAGGCCCTTCTACGTGGCGCCTTCAAAGGTTTCGGGGCGCGCTCCGCTCGCCCCGCCAGCCGGGCGTTGTGGGCGAGGAGCGCCTGTCCAGTCCTCGTGCTCGCGTCCTCTGGCGCCCACCTGCAGGCTGGGCCCAACGCGGCGCAGAGGCCTCGGGTCGCAGCCAGGCTCGCCAGGTAGGCGCCAGGCGCGCGGGCCTCCAGGCGCCGCAAGCTAAAGCCAGTCCGCTGGCCGCCTGGTGCCACTGCGCGTCTGTCAGGTCCGCCGCCAGGAGGTCGGCGAGCGCGCGACGCTTGCACAAGTCGAAGCTGCTGAGTGCTTCCGAGTGCAGTGCTGGCGGGGCCGCGCTGGCGCTGTAGACGAGTTCGCTGAAGCTCGCGCAGTAGCGTAGCAGCGGGAGGCCCACCCGACGGCGTCAGAAGTGCCAGGAACCCACCAGGATGGCCGCCGAAGTTGGCTCGAAGCTGGCCCAAGACGGCCCAAGAGGCCTCCCTCCAGGAAGGCCAGAAAAGGCCAAAAACACGGATGTTCCAAGGTTTCTGAAGTATTTTGACATTTGCTTCTTTTCGGCATTCCGACGGCCCGAGACGGCCCAAGTGCCCCCAAAGATCGCCCAAAGATCGCCCAAGAGACCTCCAACATGGCCCCAGAACGGCCAAAGAGGCCCTCAAGACGGCCCCAAGAGACCCCCAAGACGGCCCAGGAAGCCTTTCAGACGCCCAAGGTGGCCTCCAAGACGGCCCTGGAGCACCCCAAGAAGGCCCCAAGTTGGCCCAGAGAGGCCCCCCAAACGGCTTCCGACGGCGCCAGACGGGCCACGAGCCCACCAAAACGGCCGAAGATGGCCCTAAGATGGCCCAAGACGGCCCAAGAGGCTTCCAAGAGGGCCTCCAGGAAGGGCCGAAAAGGCCCAAATCATCGATTTCCTATGAGTTTTTGAAGGATCATGGCATTTGTTTTTTTGTTCGGCCTTCCGACGGCCCGAGACAGCCAAGTGCCCCCAAAGATCGCCCGAGAGGCCCAAGACGGCCCAAGAGGCCTCCAAGACAGTCAAGATGGCCTCCAAGACGGCCCAAGAGCACTCCAAGACGTCCTCCAAGGCCCGAAAGGGTCAAAACAGCCTCCAGACGGCCAAGAGAACCTTCAAGATGCCCACATGTTCCCCGAAGGCTTTCCAGACCGATTCGGGGAACACATGGTCCGATAGCTTGGCAGGTCTGGCCTCGACGTTCGGCCACATAGGCGCTTCCAACAAGGCAGGGGGCGGCGGTGATTCGCCGTAGACTTCTTCGATCCGCCGCCCCCTGTTGATTCATCACAGGGGTGCCTGGCGTGCTAGATCCTCTCGGTTTTGGTTTTGGTTCTGTTCAAAAAGAACTCCCCCTGGGCCCCCGGCGCGTCCCGCCGGGGTCCCGGGAGGTGCTCAATCCGGAACAAAAATCCTCCAAGATGGCTTAAGATGGCGCCAAGATGGCCACGTTGGCCCACGATGGCCTCCAAGATGGTCCAAGATGGACTCCAAGTTCGCCTAAGATGGTCAAAGACGGCCTCCAAGACGGCCCAAGAGAGTCCAAGACGGCCCAAGAGGCCCCAAGAGGCCTCCAAGACGGCCCAAGAGGCCTCCAAGAGGTCCTCCAGAAGACCGAAGAGGCCAAATTGATTGATTGTCCTTGGGTGTTTGAAGGATTTTGGCATTTGCTTCTTGTCGGCATTCCGACGGCTCAAGACGGCCCAAGAGGCCCCCAAGATCGCCCAAGAGGCCTCCGACATGGCCCCAGAACGGCCCAAGAGGCCCCCAAGACGGCCCCAAGAGGGCCCAAGCGGCCTCCATGACGGCCAAAATGGCCTCCAAGAGGCTAAGATGACCTGAAGATGCCTCCAAGACGGCCCAAGATGCACCCAAGACGGCCTAAGATGGACTCAAGAAGGCCCAAGACGACCCAAGAGGCCCCCAAGATCGCCCACGAGGGCCCGTGACGGCCAAAAAGGCTCCCAAGACGGCCCCAAGAGAGCCCCCAAACGGCCCAACAGGCCTCCAAGACGCCCAAGATGGCCTCTAAGAACCCCTGATATGCCCCAAGAGGGCCCCAAGACGACCCAGACAGGCCCCCAAGACGGCTTCCGACGGCGTCAGACAAGCCAGGAACGCCTTAAGACGGCCAAAGAGGCCCCCAAGAAGCCCCCAACGGCCCCCAAAAACCCTCCAAGAGGCCCCCAGGAAGCTCCCAGGAGGCCCCAAGAGTGCCCTTAGAGGCGCCCAAGAGGCCTCCTCCTCCTCCTCCTCCTCCTCCTCCTCCTCTTCCTCTTCCTCCTC